TAAACGCCGTAAAATATAGGCTAACGAACATATGGTAATATACAAACAATATGAAGGGATAATCAGATGTGGTTCCGGAACCATTCCTTTTCAAAGTTTATGTAAAATCTCCAGCTCCAGTACATAATGATTAATATCTTTGAAAAGTGTCAAATTATCCATATGTTAGCACTGTGTGTAAACATTTAGTATCCACATGCCAAATATATAATAGCTGACATGCAGAATGAATTGCTATAAAGACTAGAGAATTGAGGAATATATAAATATAATACAACAGAAAGCACAATTGATTAGCAACTGAAATATTACGGAAACGTTTATTCACAGTAACAAAACTCTTATAATTAATGCAGATCAACATAGTTAAACTTCATATTTCTCAGTGAACACAACATCCTTATTATATGAACTGTAATAAAAGTGTGTTAACACTTATTTTGATCGGTATTAGCAACTTGTTAATATACTGTGCTATCACGTGGTAGTGTATATTCTTGTAGGGTGGCAGGAACATTTTCAGTTAGTACTCTTTTTGTATTGCACTGAATCAATTTAATGAACAACGTCAGTATATTCTAGATAACTAATGTTAATGTTGTTAAGTCATAAAACACTAAATAAAATTATTTTTCTGAGAACAGCTAGTGACACCAACATAATACATACTTATTTACACTGGTGGGTATTACATATGTGCTTAATGGTGTTCGTATCTGCTTGTTTGTTAATTTCCGGTAGAAATTTTTTCCGAGGAACTTCGGAAATACAAGTCCTTTCTTGATTAAACCAGTTTATCTTTCTCGATACAAATTTTTAATGCACAGTAATTCAACAGTCAGTACGTTTCTCGTCACTTTTAAATTTAACAACTTTTATAACACACGCTATAAATCACAGCGATTCACAATCTCGATAACTTCGCTATCTATCAGTGCAAAACAGAACCGTAAATTACCCGAAACTCACCGTGATTAATGTTCGCTTCACCATCCCTGGCTTTTCCCTGCCAGGCTTATATACTAACAAAGAGGCGTCTCTCAATCACACTCGAACTTCCTCGATAATTCGAGAAACTCAGTCACGCATGCTCCCAGCATCACGTGACTTCTGCTATCGTAACACTGCCCCTTTTTTAATATTGTTCATCTCGAACAATAGCCACTTACATTAAACCAATAGATAATTAACAATAGCTTGATTAAATGTACAGAATTTACAAACACAAAATTAAAATACAACAAAGTCTCTTAATTTTACAGGACGTATCTTCTTCCGCTCTGGTATCTGTATCATTGGCTTCTGCTTCACGTGTGGCTCATCTGCTCCATCAGGTAATGTCCCATTATCGGTAACAGTCACATCAGTAGTAGTAACTTCATTAACGGCTTCACTGTTTTCCTTCTCAAAACCGGGTAGAGTTTCTTCTTCAACAGTGGCTTTTTCAGGTGACACGTCTTCAGCAGCATTATTTGTTCCATTGTTCACTTTGTTCCAACTGTAATGTCCTGGACCATGATAACATGAAAGCCTGTTGGCATGCGCCCCCCTTGGCTTACCTCGCCGACCAAATTTTATTCGGAAAGTCACGTCTGAGAGACGATCCACCATGTCACATGGGCCTTCCCATGGAGAAGACAACTTAGGAGACTTCACTTTGGTCTTCCTGGGATTATACAACTACGCCTTTTTTCCTGGTACAAAGCTGACTTCAGTAGATTTCTTGTCATAACATAGCTTCATGGAATCAGCAGACGTTTTTAAGTTTGAATGCACTTGATGATGAATATCATCCATCCTTTCAGATAACACTTTCACAAACTCTTCGTAAGGTGGGCATCCTGTTATGAGGTCTACTGGCAACCGAAGTTCCTGACCAAAAATCAGTTTTGCTGGAGTGTATCCAGTGGCTTCCTGCTCTGCTGTTCTATAGGACATCAACAGTGGAGGGAGTAAGACATCCTAGTCATCTTGGTGGCTATTACCAAATTTTGCCAATTCCTGTCCTAGTGTTCAATTGTACTTTTCTAACATCCCATCAAGCTGTGGGTGAAGTGGTGTTGTCCTGGTCTTTTGTATGCCAAACATTCATGGAACACAGCTGATTCAAAGTTACGGCCTTGATCCGAATCCAGTTCGTATGGCATACCAAACCTGAAGAAGAAATAACTAATAGCCGAAGCTACAGTTGTAGCTGCAGGTCCTGCACCATTCTTCCACATCCTGCCTCATACATATCCAATAAAATCTCTGCCATAG